TATTTGTGAATGAATCTAGTGAACACTTGAATCTATTGAGGAAGACATCTAGGAATAAATATAATTGGCTTTGTCTGTACCCATGTGGTGTGGGACAAATGTCTATATTCTGTCAATTATATTTTAAGTAAGTGCTGATTGGCCAGTAGTCAGGCAGGAAGTATAGGTGGGACAACCAGACAAGAAGGAGAGGTGTGTCAATGAGAACAGAATTCTGGGAAGAGGAAAGTCCATTTTTCTGCAGTTCTGGCCCAGCCACAGAAGAAGCAAGATGTGACTGCCTTGCTGAAAAAGGTACTGAGCCACGTGGCTAACACAGATAAAAAATATGGACTAGTATAAGTTATAAGAGTTAATAAGAAGCCTGAGCTAATGGGCCAATCAGTTTATAACTAATGTAGACCTCTGTGTGATTTCTTGGGGCTTAATGATTGCAGGGGCCCAGGCAGGACAGAAACCCTGACAACAAATGGTGTGCCAATGTGGGGCTGACCAAATCTACATAAAAGCCTGAGAGAGCTTGGGAAGTAATTCTAGACAGAAAAGAATAGAGTTAAGCATAGCTTATTGATAGTAGCATTTTTCTCAGGTGGACTCTGTTTGCTAGAGACAAGAGCTCTCATTTAAGATGTTTGAATGCTGAGAAAGAAGCAACAGCTGCTAAAAGATATTTGTTTATAAATGCTGCTGAATTAATCCAAGATAGGTATTTTGAAAATGCCTTGACTTCAAAATTGCAGTCAAAAGGTATGTTACTTTGGAGAAGAGAATTTGCTTTCATTTCCACAGGAAATGAGAGGCTGTGGACTCATTCAGAGTTAAGAAAAAACAGGTTTGGTCAAGGAAGACCACCTGAGAAATCTCTGGTAAGAACAGATGGCCCAGATGTCTGAGTTCTATATCCAGAACAGATTCAAGATGCTGCCTGAGATGATCAAGACCCACAGGATACTGCAGTCAGGACTTGATCATAATTCTAAATTTTCTTCAGGTTCCTATAAGATTATCAGCATCCAACAGCAGGAAGTAGCCTGGAAAACTATGCCTACTTCCCAAAAAAATGGACTATGGATATTTTTCTTTGTTTAGAATGTTGGTTACAAGTTGTTATGGCTAATGGGCAGGAGAAAAGCTGAACAAAGTATATTAGACTCAGAGTTCTTTTTTTTAAAGGGGGGAGTTGTGTGGGACAATTGTCTATATTCTGTCAATTATATTTTAAATAAATGCTGATTGGCCAGTAGCCAGGCAGGAAGTATATGTGGGACAAACAGACAAGAAGTAGAGGTGTGTCAATGAGAACAGAATTCTGGGAAGAGGAAAGCCCATTCTTCTGCAGTCCTGGCCCAGCCACAGAAGAAGCAAGATGTGACTGCCTTGCTGAAAAGGGTACTGAGCCACGTGGCTAACATTGATAAGAAATATGGACTAATATAAGTTATAAGAGTTAATAAGAAGCCTGAGTTAATGGGCCAATCAGTTTATAACTAATGTAGACCTTTGTGTGATTTCTTTGGGACTTAACAATTGCAGGGAACCGGGCAAAACAGAAACCCCAACAACACCCATGTCCATGCCCATCAGAGCAGGGCAGATAGGGTTGGGATGGGTTTCAGTGGAATATCAACTGCCTATTTTGTGTAAAACCCAGAGTTTTCTTCCCTACAAAACATGTACATTTACATGTGAACAGAATGGATGAATCTCTACATGTTAAAACATTTGAACACTATATTTCTTTAAGAATATACAAACACAGACAGGTAGTGGTGGTTCATGCCTTTAATCCCAGCACTCGGGAGGCAGAGGTAGGTGGATCTTTGTGAGTTTGAGGCCAGCCTGGTCTACAGAGAGAGTTCCAGGACAGGCTCCAAAGCTACACAGAGAAACCCTGTCTTGAAAAACTGAAATATACAAACATTACATTACACTTCACAGAACATTGTGAAATTAAAGAATTTAAACACAAAATTGCATGCACTGTATTATTCTACATGTACAAAGCTAAAAGCCAGAGAAACTAATTTATAATACATCTTAAGAGAGTGGTTATGAGGGTCATGACCAACAAGAGGCACAGGGCTTCTTGGGTACCACAATGGTCTCTGCTTTGGTCTGAGTACTTGTTACATGGTTGTGTTCAGATTTTGGAAATTCATATGATTTGTGCGTGTGTGTGTGTGTGTGCGCGCGTGTGTGTGTGGCACAATGACATTAAACATTTCCTTAAAAATTGAAGGAGGACAGGCACATAGGACTTCTGTTATTTAAGGCCTAAACAGCCAAAAGCCCTTTTCTTGTTGTTTTTGTATTTTTTAAAACCACCATCTTGGTCCATTTTTCATTGCTATAACGAAATATCCAAGACTGAACAATTCCCAAGGAAAAATGTTTATTGAGCATACAATTTTGGAAGCAGAAAGTCCAAGTTTGGTAACCCCTATTTGTTGGGTTTTTTACGTGGCTCTTCTTGGTCTCATTATAAGTTTATAGATACAAGATGTGAGAGAGAGGCCACATAGTGAGAGAGGGAGTCAGGAGCAGGCATTCTCCTTCAGGAATCAGCAAGGGTCCTGGAACACTGTGTGACTCCCTCTGGGGACAGTGTTCTCAGGAACCTAACCCCTCCCGCCAAGCTCCACTTTCCACTCTACGCCCCAGCATAGCCACATTGAGGACTAAGCCTCCAATGCACAGGTCTGTGAGGGGCACACCCCAAGTGCATACAAGCCACAGCAGCAGCCAGTGCATATTAAATTCTTCAGAAAATACTCACTTAGGGCCTATAGGGTGAGCAAGTCCACAATACCCCTGACCTTGTGCTTTGGTATCCAAATGGAAGAGACTGACAGTAGACAGGACCGCTTGCCCTCTGACTTCCAGAAGACTTGGCCCCCGGAAAGCCCAGTCAGAGAATGAGGGGATTATGTGAATTTTCCCCAGCTTCCTTCATTCGGGACTATGACAGGCAGGTTGTGCCTCTAGAACAGAGGCCCTGTTCCTGCCTTCTCCATCAGCTCTGCCTTCTGGGAACTGATGCTTGCCCACTTCGTGTGTGTCTTTAATCACAGGACCAGTGTTGGCTCTCACTTGGGGCCAGTTCCAGAGTCTCATAGACTCCCTATTGTTCTCTAAACCCTGGTTCCCCCCACACCTTTGTTCTTATTAATTAACTTTATTGATTTATTTTACATCCTGACCACAGTTTTCTTCCCTCCTCTCCTCCCATTCTTTCCCTTCCCCCCAATCCTCTCCTCCTCTGATTCTGTTCACAAAGGGGCAGGCCTCCCGTGGATATCAACAAAGCAGGGCATATCAAGATGAGATAGGACTAAGCTCATCCCTTGTGTTAAGGCTGGGCAAGGCAACCCAGTCTGAGGAATAGGTTCCCTGAAACCAGCCAAAGCGCTAGGGACAGGCCCTGCTCCCACCACTAAGAGTCCCACAAGTAGACCAAGTTATACAACTGTCACACATATGTAGAGGGCCTGGGTCGGTCCCATGCAGGCTCCCTAGCTGTTGGTCCAGAGTCTGTGAGCCCCTATGAGCCCAGGTTAGTTGTTTCTGTGGGTTCCCTTGTGATGATTTTGACCTCCCTAGCTCATACAATCCTTCCTCCCTTTCTTCAACAGGATTCCCCAAGTTTGGCCCAGTGCTTGACTGTGGATCTCTGCATCTGTTTCCATCAATCACTGGATGCAGGCTCTCTGATGACAATTGGAGTAGTCACCAAGCTGATCACAGGAGAGGGCCAGTTCAGGACATATATCTACTATTGCTAGGAGTCTTAGCTGGGGTCATCCTGTAGATTTGTGGGAGTTTCGCTTGTACCAGGTTTTTACCTGACCCCAAAATGTGCCCTTCCTCTGCATCAAGATGCCTCCTTCATTACTCTCCCCTTTCATCCCTCCATCCTCTCCAACCCAATCCCTCATGCTCCCATCCCAGCCAGCCCCTCGTCTACCTGGTAAATCTCTTCTATTTCTGCTTCCCCAGGAAGTCCATGTGTCCTGTCCCTCTGTGGGCTCTCCTTGTTACCTAACCTCGCTAGGGCTGTGGGTTGTAGCTGGTTCTCCCTTTTAAGCATAGCTTTATTAAAATCCTCACAGCAGACATTCCCAGTGCCCTGTTTCTTATCAGGACCCAGAGAGATGCTCAAGATTGAACACATCTAACAATGGGCAAATGCAGCAGAGAAAGCTGCTATGCAGCAGTGCTTAAGCAATAAGGACCAAAAGGAAGCTCACACACGTTTGGTATGTTCAGAAAATACTTTCCATCTGAGCTTGGCGGAATCCACAGGGTGTGAGATTTGTGGGATGGAGGGGCTAGCAGCTGTGGCTTTCATCATGGTGTGGCCGAGATCAACTGGCAAGAGATGGTGACTCTGAGCAAGGTAAGAGAAAGCCTCGCCGAGAATTGCAACAGTTGCCCCGCGCGCACTGGCAAGAGATGGTGACTCTGAGCAAGGTAAGAGAAAGCCTCTCCGAGAATTGCAACAGTTGCCCCGCGCGCCAAACAGCAAGCCAGACCCAGTGACAGAAAGTACCTCTGTTTGTCCTCCCTATCCAGGTCACATCCAGGGCTTGCACAGACAGACTCCTGTCTTTCAGAGCTCAGATCTAGTGTGTTCTAGAGTCTTACTGCTTTCCAGGAAGGAGTCACTAAGAAGCATTTTCTAAATGGTATGCTCACCCACAGCATTTCCCTAGAGGGCAGCTTTGTTGGCCCCTCCACTCCACAGATCCCACACAAGTGGACTCCATCAAGCTCAGAAAGAAAATATTTTTTAAATACCACATGTGTGTATGGACTTTGGTGTCATTATTCCTTAAACAGTATGGCATAGCAACTACTGAAATTGCATTCACAGATTGCTAGGCACTGTATGTAATCTAGAGATGATGAAGTACACAGGAGGGTGTATAGGAGTTACAGAGTGCCATTTTATATAAAAGACTCAAGGGAGCATGGGTTTCCCCACCTGCTGGGGTCCTGAAGCCAGTCCTCTGGGGATTCTGATACAGATGGCTATAATCTCAAAACTCCTGCAGCCAAATTTATTTAAAATTCTTCCATTTTCTATAGTCTTTGGACCTAGCACTGAGTTATAAGAGGATGATCTCACATAGTATATGCACTGTATGCTCACACTGCCCCACCCATACCCTATACTCTCCTTTTTTATCCTTCCCCTTCTTTTAGTGAATCTGATGACTGCATCCAGGAGGATAGATTGTCTCACAGTATCCATTCATCCTGTTCATGTGTGGAAGGTTTCCCATCTTCTGACTGAAGACTATCAATTTCTTTCCTCAGTGTTGGGGAGCATTTGTTGTAGAGATTGTTCCCTTACTCCATTAGGTTTACTCTAAAGTCGATTTTAGGAACTTGTGAATAAGATTTCCCCCTGATTTTGTTCTTAGCACGTTTGTTTTCTGTATGTGAGAAAGCTACTGACTTGCTGTGTTAATTTGGTATCTTGCCACTTGGCTCAAGGTGTTTATCAGATCTAAGAATTTTCTGGGATGGGCTAAAGAGATAGATCAGTTGATAAAATGTTTGTTTTGTGTTCACGGACGTTTCTGTCCCACCTGGTCCCACAGTCGTTCAGTCCCAAAGAAATATACAGAGGTCTACATTAATTATAAACCAGTTGGCCTATTAGCTCAGGCTTCTTATAAATTAATTCTTACATCTTAAATTAGCCCATAATTCTTGTCTGTGTTAGCCATGTGGCTTGGTACCTTTATCAATGAGGCATTCTCATCTTGCTTTCTCTGCATTTGGGTAATGACTGCAGACTCTCCTATCTTCTGCCCAGAATTTTCCTGTTCTAGTTGCCCCACCTCTACTCCCTGCCTAGCTACTGGCCAATCAACATTTTATTAAATTAAATTACATTAAAACAATACAATTGGCAAATCTTTAAAGGGTATAAAATCATTGTCCCACAGCACTTCCCCCCTTTCTTTTTCAAAACAAGAATTCTGAATCTAATCTCCTCTGTTTAGCTTTCTTCCTGACCATTATCGATAACAACTTGTAACCAACACTCTAAACAAAGAAAAACATCCATAATCCTTCTTTGGGAATGTGGGCATAGTTTTCCAGGCTACTTCTTGCTGATTGGGGGCACTGACAATCTTATGGGACCTAAAGAAAATTTAAAATTATGATCAAGTCCTGACTGGAGTATTCTGTGAGGCTTGATCATCTCAGCCAGCAGTCTTGAAACTGTCCTGGATGTAGAAGTCAGACATCTCGGCCATCTGCTTCTCTCAGAGATTTCTCAGGGGGTCTTCCTTAATCAAACCGGATTTTTCTTAACCCAGAATGAATCCACAGCCTCTCATTTCCTATGTAAACAAAAGCAAAACCTCTTCTCCAAAGTAACATATCTTTTGACTTCAATTTTGAAGTCAAGGCATTGTCAAAGTACCTATCTTGAATTATAATCCAAGCAGCATTTATAATCAAATGTCTTTTATCAGCTGTTGCTCTTTCCTAAGCCATCAAACAATTCAAAGATAACACAATAACATGCAGTATCCAGACTCTCTGTGTATTTTCCATCTTTATGTGGCTTTATTTTAAACTCTATATTTTTATTTTTAATTTTTGGTTTATGAGACTAGGTTTTTCTGTGTTTCTTTGGCTGTCCTGGCACTCACTCTGTAGGCCAGGTTTTCCTTGAACTTATAGCGATCTACCTGCCTCTGCCTCCCAAGTGTTGGGATTAAAGGTGTGTGCCACCACACCCAACTACTATCTTTCTTTCTTTTTTATTTTAAGGACTTTATACTTTTTCTTTTCTCTCCCAAGACTAAATATATTTTTAATGACACTGTATGTTGAAATAGGAGTGGCGGGGCTGTGTCCCCAGCACCCTGGCCGCCTGCTAGCTTATGCCCAAAATAATTACATGGACACTGTATTCTTTTAAACACTGCTTGTCCATTATATCTAGCCTCTTCTCAGCTAACTCTCGCACCTGGACTAGCCCATTTCTAATAATGTGTGTAAGTACCCCAAGGTGCACTTACCGGGAAGATTCTAGCCTATGTACATCCTGGGTCAGAGCTTCATCACGTGCCCAGGAGAGCGAAGCAGGGCCTCTGCTCCAGAGAGCAGAGCTGTCGAGTCTGAGCTCACTTCCTCTTCCTTCCAGCATCCTGTTCTGTTTACTCCTCCCACCTATGTTTTAACCTATCAGGGCCAAGGAGTTTCTTTATTGCTTAACCAATGAAATCAACAGATTGATATGACACTCCCACATCAACTGTAAACCATTTAGAGGTTTTCTTTGTCTTTGAATCTATCTTCACTGTATATTTCTCTTTTTCTGACCACACGAGTCTTTAATTTGCTAAGCAATATGGCTAGGATTAAAGCTATGGTTTTGACTGCTGGATCCACCTCATTCCTTAACTTTCCAAGAGTCTAGCCTCATGGTGAAGGTACTGGCAGGAGCCACGCTTATTGCCACAACTCTATGGAGTTTCAAGGTCCTGCCATCACCAAGAAGCATGCTGTAGGCTATTCATGAACACCATTTAAGTGTTTTGTGGCAAGGCCTCTCAAAAGGGCTGCAAGGTTTTTGCAGCTAAAGCTGAGTCAGGAAATCTCTTTTAAATGAGATGCGTTTGCCTCTAGCAAACAGAGCCCACCTGGAAAAATGCTGCTACTAAGAAGCCATGTTTACCTCTGTTCTTTTGTGTCTAGAATTACTTTCCAAACTCTCTCAGGTTTTAAGTAGATTTAGTTGTCCACATTGGCACCTGTTGACAGAGGTTTCTGTTGACAGAGGTTTCTGTGCAACCCAGCCCCCCAAAAATAGAGCGAGTGCATGCTTTACAGTTGTATTTATAGTATGAGACCATGCCCAAGTGACTCCCACAGTACCTCCTCCCTTTGTTTAAATAAAAGAATTCTAAACCTAAAACAAAACTATGTACACTGGGAACAGATATCAAGTATCAGGTTAGAATTACAACCATCATCAACAGTATTAAGCAAGAAACATATACTAATGTTTTAATAAACATTCTATGCTAAGGAGTCTAAGTCTTATATTATAAATAATTTGGCCAAGTCATGAAAGGAAAGTAACTATAACTATCTAGTCGTCAACCCCATCAAAGGCCTGAGAAGGGAGATAATATCACTTGAATAGGCAGGAAATGCAATCAAGCATCTTCCAAAATGTGCAGTAGATGACAGAGACAACTGGCTGCCTGATCAAATACCGAAGTCTCATTTGCAATGTTAAAGCAACTAAGGCCTATAGTAACTGACAGACCATTTTCAGAGGCAGAAAAAAATTTCAAAACCACTTTACCCTGTCTTGGCAAGATTTGACAGTCTTTTTTCTTGTATCCTGCTTGTCTAGTCTAGACATCGTGCATTTTGTCAATGGTCAAGGCATGGACAGTTCCTTGCCCAAAGGCCAGTTGTGCCAAGAAGAAAACAAACTCCAAGTGGAGTGTCTTTGGTGCTCAACACTCTCTTGGGAATAGATTGGTGCTGTCACGAGCAATTGTGTCTCATGTCAACAGAATCCTAAGTTATTTAAATGCCATGTTCTACAGATCTTTGAAGTGGTTTAAGATTACCTATCTATGCAGAATATAATCTCTATGTATCTAAAGAACCTAATTAGTCTGACTAAAAGTATAACAAACATGAATGACTATTGACCTATAATACTTAATACCTATATAACCTAAAGATTAAGACTTCATATCAAAATATTAAACAATCTTTAAACAACTGTGCAGTAAAGGAGGACAATGACCTCAAAATGTAAACAATGCATAAATATCTTGATCAGAGGTAGAAATATATAATACAATATGATAAATATATCCAAAATTATATCAATACACAAAATTCTTAAACTGAGGTAGAAACATGCATGCATACAATCTGACAAAATAACATTGCATAGCTGTACAAATATTATAAACAGAAATAGAAGCATATTCAATATAACAAATATAATTTAAACTTGTATCAATATATAAAAATCTATACCAATGTAAATTGTTCTTAAATAATAGCTCACAAGTATTCACTCTTTTACTTATAATTATTATTAGTGTGATTAAGTTCACTCTAATCTAACCATTATCCCATTCAGTTTTTCCTCTTAGCAGTTTTGCAAGCATGAGAACTTGAGTTTCAGTTTCAGAATCAATGTCTTTTTTTTTAAAGGTCAGGGAGGGCAAGGTAACACCCTTGTTTCTAAGGCCGGGGAGGTAGAGACAAGCAGATTCCGAGGGCCCACCCTAGTTGGTAAGTTCCAAGCCAATGAAAGATTCTGTCTTAACTCAAGGTTGTTTTCTGTCTACCACATACACATGTTTGTGTCCTCCTTTCCTATCTGTATCCCTTTTATTTTCTTATCTTGTCTTATTACTCTAGCTAAGATTGCAAATGCCATAGTGAAGAAAAGTGGAGAAAGTGGATACTTTATCTTCTGCTTGACCTTAATAGAAATGCTTTGAGTGTTTCTAGTTAGTATGATGCTGGCTTTATTACATTGAGATACATCCCTTCTATTCCTAGTCTCTTCAGGGATTTTATCAAAAGTGGTGTTGGATTGTGTCAAAAACCTTTTGAGAGCTACTGAAATAATCATGTAATTCTATCTTTGATTTAGTTTATGTGATATATTACATTTCTCCATCTGCATATTTTGAACCATCCCTACATCTCTAGAATGCAGATAACTTGACTCAGTAAATGATCTTTTTGATGTCTCCTTGAATATGACTTGCAAGTATTTATTTTTGTTGAAAAAAATTGTACCTATGTTCATCAGGGATATTGATCTATAATTTTTATCTTGTGTCTTCGTGGAGTTTTAGTTACAAAGTAGTCCTAATGATTTTCTGAATTTCACTGATATCTGTTGTAATGGCTCATTTTTTATTTCTAATTTTATTAATTTGGGCCTTCTCTTTCTTCTGGTTCATTTCACTCAAGTTTTGCCAATCTCAGTTATTTTGTCCAAGAGCCAGCTCTTTGTTTCTTTGATTCTTTATATTGTTCTTTATTTTCATTCCATTAATTCTTGCCCTGCATGGCTTCTTTCCACTCACTGACTTTGAGTTTGGCTTGCTCACATTTTTACAAGACTCCAAGGTACATTGTTATTTATTTGACATCATTCAGATTGTTTTGAGGCAGCTATAAAACTGCCTTTTAGGACTACTTTCATTGCATCCCATATCATTTGCTTTGTTTCTGTTGTACTCATAATTGAGCTTAGGGCTCCAGGCGTAGTGGGCAATCAACCTACCACTGGGCTATGATCCCAGTCCTTAGCCATATTTTTAAACAGAAAGACAGACATGCTCTAGCATCCTCAATGCCCGGGGTTGGTTTCTAGCATCACATTATCTAGGCAATGTGACCCAGCAACTCAAGTCCTCCTCAGCTATATAATGAGTTTGAGGCCATTCTCAGCTACAAGAAAACTGTCTCAGTAAACCAAAAAAAAAAAAAAAAAAAAAAAAAAAAAAAAAAAAAAAAAAAAAAAAAAAAAAAAACTGAAAGAAGAAGGAGGAGGAGGAGGAGGAGAAAGAACAAGAAAAATAAGTAGGAAGACTTAAGCTTGATAATCTATTCATTTAACTCAGAAGAGTCAAACAATATCCATTCAACACGATCAGCATAAAATAGCTCCTAAGGACCAACACTATGGCTCTAACACCTGATGTGTTTTCTCTACTTTCAGCACCAGGTTCTCAGTGGCTTCACAGGGCCACCACTTTGGACAGCATAGCCCTATAGTCTCCTGTGGTCCTGGGTACCAGGCAATTCAAGTGACCCTGATGTAAAGAAGACTCATGGCCAGGAGCTTCCCCATATAGAGTCTCCCATTTTGTTGTGAAAGTTGACATCCCAGAACTTGTGTGAAGCATCTGAGGAAAGATGGGAATTTATTTGAAAATGTGTGGCAAGGCTTGTATCTAACAGAGTTACATGTCACACCATGACATTGGGTCAACAACCTACCCGTACAATGGTGTATACTATGCAGTTTGGGTGTATACTCTGTTGTCTGTTGTAGGCTAAACCAAGTAGGTTTTTTTTTTTTTTTTTTTTGCAAGCATGCAATGTGATATTCACACCACAATGAAGTCACCTAACTCTGTAACTCACATCTGAGGAGGAGGGAGTTACGCTCCATCCCCTTTCAAGTGAGTAGCTATAGGAATTCTTAGATTTTTTTCTCTTTAGATTGGCCTCTTCTTCCTACTTATTAAGTTACTGATTATTTATTCGCATCATGTGGTCTGGCGTACTCTGTACTGGTGTACTCGCTGTACCCTTCTGTACTCTGAGTCATATGGCGTCGGCCTGGCTTTGTTTTGTTGCTCTGACCATTGTAGCTTTAACTGCAGAGAGCTCTTCCATTTACTCAGTAACATCTGATGTAGGTACATCACCACTCAGAGAAGACAAAAAAAAAAAAAAAAAAAAAAAAAAAGTCAGTCCTTCCAAGAAGTATGTCCTTGGCTTCTGAGTTTCACCTGAACTTAGACCCCTTGGTTTTGTCTGGGTCAAGTTTGGGAAGACTAGCTAAGGTCACCCCGTCACTTTTCCCGGAATCAGAGAGAGCAGTTAGAAGTGGGAGATCCTCGCGTGTGAGCCTCTCCGTGTTCTGAGAGCTCAAGGGCAGGCTAATTACATACCTCAACAAACACCCAAAAAAGGCATCTGAATGGCACTGTCTCATAATGAAGGGGTTCAAAGCTCCAGAAATAGTGCTCCCCAAGTCCTTGACCACCTTGGATACGAATTAGAGCTTGCCTATGCCTTTGGACATGAACTCACTTCCCTGCCCCACCCTGGTGTCCACAAACCATCACCAGAAGTGATGGAGGACCCTGGGGCCAGGGTCTGAGAACACTCATAGGACCACCACAAACAAGGCTACGTGTGAAGGGCCGCTCTTGTAACATGGTGCCGTTCTATAGCCTGGGGAACAACCCAACAAACTTTATGTTGGCTATGGATCGCAAAAGAGTCGGCCTGTGGGCAGCAACTACACAGACACCTTCCTCTCCTGGAAAATTTTGAGAAGTAAGCTGCAAGGAATCCCAACAGAAACTCAGGGGTCCTAAGTTGTTGACCAGGGCCTAATACTTTGCATTCCAGAATGCTCTGGCAGGCAGCGGGGTTTCACCTGTGGCAATATGTCCATGGGTTAGGTGTGTAAACTCGTGTGGGGGGAGCAATTCCAACTTTGATCTCAGTGGTGAACTCAGTCAGTCCCTCACATCCAGGGCATATTTCAGTACCTACCTTTCCACCATAGAGCAAACCCCCTGTGCCAGCAAAGACTTACACGAAACGTTATTTGTTTTAGTGTTCAGCCTCTTTCTCTTTCCCCAACTACTTTCAAAATAAAGCCTTCCAATGAGATATTTCACCTTTGTAAACACACCCATCTGGCAACCCCTCAAGTACTTGATTCTTATGATATAGGCACCATACATCATTCTGTTATGAAACATCCCAGGACCCCTTGAAATCTCTAGACATGGAATAGTGACTTTCGTCATCAATGTGACAAAAACATCCAACACAAACAGCTGAAGTAAGGACAGACGTGTTCAGGCTCATGGTTTCAAAAAGCTTTTTGTGCACCGGGGTGGATGGCAGAACAGAGGCGCTCTGTCCCCGGTAGCAGATGCACGAGACAGAGGCTTGCTAACGTGTCAGCTAACCAGGAGGCAACAGGCCTGACCTTGGTAGGTCAGCCACCCACTGACACACCTCTGTCCACCAGGCCTCTCCTTTTCCAGGCTCCACAGTCTGGAAAAGCTGGGGGTCAAGCACTCGGACGCGAGCCTGGAGACGTCGTAGATTGGATGGCATGTATCTCATGCTCTGTGCCCGCTGCCCCCTTCCCTCGGCCATCACTTTTCATGCATCACTAGGTGCTGCCTCTTGTCCCTCATACCCAGTCTGGGTCAGCTTGGCCTAGGCGCCAGCTGGGGGGCCATCCTGGGAAGTGTATGGGAGGAGAAGTGGGTATCATTCTTGGCAGAACTGTTACGAAGGACCCGTAGCCCCTGGAATAGACAAAGACAGGGTGAGGAGCTGAGACCTAGGGTCCCGCCTGAAGAGATACATTTCAGCCTTCAGAAGACCACGGCAGGAGTGTCCACCGGAGGAATTATATGTTCTACCTCAACTTTGTTATTTCTAAGCCTTTTCCTCATGGCAAAAATGATTAAATCTTAGGGTTTTTTTTCTCCCTAAGGACGAAGAAACTGGGGAGGCGCTCAGAGTTAGGGGCACGGCACTGGGAAAGCCACTGGCAGAGCATTGCACTATGGGACTGGCCCCTGCCATGAAGGACTGGTGCTGTTCTGGATGGTACTGAGCACATAAAAAAAAAAAAAAATGACAAGTTCCAGAACGCTTTGGCAGGCATCTGGGTCTCGGAATTTCACTTTTTGGGAGCTTCATAGATGTCTTAATTAGTGCTGTGTGGATGATTGCTGAGGGAGACAGAGGCTGAACCAAGCCATAAACAGAAAAGGGGGGGTAAGACCCCAAACCACGCTTATTTGCTAAATTTACGTCTGAACTAAATTTAACCTCTTTTACAGAACGCTGATTGAACTCAGCCAAAGACTTCTTGTGACCCTAGCTCCCTCCCTCACCCCCGTCATGCAGTTGCTATCTCAGGTGAGAGAAGGGGACCCTGTGCCAGGCAAGGGCACGAGTGTTATCATAACACATGCATTTCCATAGACCCTTCTGGAGGACGGAAGTAGCTCCATTCAATACAGAAAGGTATCAGGACTCAGAGAGGGCAAGCAACCAGTACAAGGTAACAGAGCCAGGAAGCACTTTTGTGGACTCGCTTTCGAGTAAAGGTCACGTGAAGCAAACATATTTCCTAGGGCGGCCTCGGCTGTGATTGTGTATTGGAGGGACCAGTTCAGATCCCAGGTTAGCTGGGGAATCCAGAGGAAGCAAAGGAGGTCAGGAAGCAAATTCAATTACAGTCTCCAGACTCAAACTTCTAGAAAAATCTGACAGGATTTCTAGGGAGGCATCCTCTCAGGGTAGTAATGTACCTTGCTTGCTCCACGTGGGGTACCATTTTGAAGACTGTGGGACTTTTAGAAGCTGGGGCCTGGCTGATAGAAGTAGCTGGCTTGGGGGCTACCTTTGGCATGCATGTCCACCTCTGCCCGCGGTCTGCTGCCTCTGCTTTTGGTCTCCATCACATGAACAGGCTGAGGCTGCAGGCTCCCTTCCTCCCACTTGACCAAAGACAGGGCTGCACCTGCGAGTCCACCTTCCTGCCGGAATGGACTGAAACCCTCCTGAAACCGTGAGCTCAGAGCAGCCATTCCTCCCGTAGGTCACTTCTACCAGGTATTTCTTATCACGGCGTGTTTCGGGATACCTGCCCACACGTGAAACTCCGAGGCTGTGTTAATAAAATTCACCTTGGACCAGGGGGCAAAGCCAGCAACCAGTTGACAATAATTAGCCCTAGAGAGTCCGAAGGACCCAGAAATGTGGATAGAGAGACAGAGGAAGGAGAGGGAGGGACTTAGAGATTCAGTCTTTTTGGTTTGGGAAGAGCGGAGAGCTTTTCTTGCTGGGTCTCGAGCCAGAAAGGAAGGTCAGCTGGTTGCTTCCAGGTTTCTCTGATGAGCCAGGTTTTCATTCCAACATCTGATTTTTTTATTGGTAAACAGAACAAGTTAGATAAAAATAACATTTGGCGGCTGGTGCCAGTGGGCCAGAAATCCCACCAGGTATTTCTGTGTGTCCGTGGAGGGGCACTGACTACAGAAGGAAGATGATAGTTAAACTCCCAGTAGATTCAGGGTCTGCTGAGCAGACAGAAAATCAACAGTGGCATGAAGGAGACAGTGGTAAAGGCCCCTCCAGCCAGGGGTGGCATTGTGGGAAGGTGTTTTCTTCGGTACCATTGTGCATATCAGGGCGGAAAGATCATGTGACCCAGAGGAAGCAACCACCTTTTTTTTTTTTTTTTAAATAAAGAAGGGTATGTCGTGGGTCAGTTTCATCTGGAGGCTTCTGCACCCTTTCCTGTGGCTGCCAGGAGGCTTCAAAAACCACACATTTCTCCCCCGCCCCTCCACAGGCTGCCAGCCCAATCCTCAGGACAGAGCCCTCCAGCTTGCAGACACCCTCAGGCAATCTCTGCAGACCTCGGCCTGACTTCTAGCGGCTGCCTGCAGGGGAGCTAACTGAATAAACCCACCTTGCAGAGGCCCTCTTCCTCCCGACTCAGTCAGAAGATCCAGTTTAGTCTTGTTCACTAACTGTTCCCTAGTGGGAAAACAAAGCATGCCAACCCCAGAACTTGGGTTTTGTTCTCAGTGCTATAAAAAAAGAAAAAGAAAAAAAAAAAAAGCATTTGTTTTGAGGTGGAGCAAACTGGTGCAGCTTGTTCTGGTTTTTTTGGTTCAAGGTTCAGGCCAAGTCCCTGCTCCAGACAGAAGGAATGTCCCTGGAATGCTTCTTCCAACTAGGGCTCTCAACAGCTGACAGGGCTGGGTGTTCAGACGGAGGCCACCTGCTCTGCAGACACCCAGGGACTTCCCTGCAGCTCTGGTGCGGGCTTCTGAGGCTCAGGGCAGAGTTGGGCTGCACAGATGACCCCGCTCTCGGAGCCATGCCACCCCGTCCTCTGTGTAGAGGCCGAGCCCTGCCCACGCACTAAGCAGCAATGTGGCTGCATGCCTTTAACCAAGAGGAACCCAAAGGGATGGGACACGAGGGGTCGGTGTCACTGTGCAAGCCTGCCGGGGTCTCCGCAAGTGGACACAGCACCTGGGATGGGAAAGGATCTCAGTGTCCACAGCCTTGGCATGCCAGCAGGAGACCCTTAGCCACTGAACAGCACTCTTTGGAGACACCGAAGGCACAAGGCATGTGAAATGCTGTGGAAATGACCCGAGGGGATCCGAGTCAAGCCAGCCTGCACTCAACAGCTCCAGCAACAGCTGGCGGAAGGGGCCCAGTGGTGTACATACCTAGGATTCCTTCGGTCATCTCAGGTTCAGATCTCTTGTGGGCTACTCAGCAATTTACATCCCCAGCCAGAAAGTCATACAGCACCAAGGACCAAGCGTGGGGGTGGGGGTGGGGGGAGCTCGTCCCCAGGGATGGCCCCAGGAGACAGAGCAGCTGGGTATGGATAGCCATGCTGTGAATCACCAGCCGGGAATTCCGAAAGGAAGATGTACTCCCACACTGCCCCACATGGAAATCTGCATATCGAGGGATGTGCAAGGCCAAGCAGGGCATGGATGGAGCCTGCCCAGAGTGATGGAGGAGGCACTGCCCACCTCCAGCCAACTGGAGCTGACACACGCAAGCTGGAAATGGACAGGAACTGGAGCAGAGCGCTCCCACCCAAACACCTTTGTTTTTCAGGCTTCTTTCTTTCTTTTTTTGCCCTCCGCCTGCCCTTTAGTCAAGCCAACAACAGCTTTTATCAAAGGCAATCTCGGATCCCCGATAATCCATTGCCTCTACCCAGGAAACGGGCCATTCTTGTTCTCTTTTGGCCACGTGGAGAGAACAGGCTGCCTGAGACACAGCCCAGAAATATTTTCTTGTGCTGGGTGTCCAGGAGGGTTAGGAGCCAACACGTGGGATTTCAGCTGGGGGTGCTGTGTTCAGCTCTGCTTGCTGCATGCTGGATTCAATTAGAGGCTTCCTTGCACTGTGTCTTCATTAGTCCTACACTGCAGTGTGCAGGGGTGGCTGTCAACTCCTTAAAAATGTGCTGATTCCCCCAGCCCCCAAGGACTTAGCATAGTCCAATACTGTTGAGAGGATGAGAGGGAGGAGAAATGGGTATAGCATTGATTCACATGTTCCCAGCTATAGTTACATAATAGTAATTACTGCAACCTAACATAATTGCTTCCATATCCAATATTCACAGAAGGCAGGGGGGGGGGCTGCAGATCTAGGCATTCTGGGCTAGGAACAGATGATTGGCTACAACTGATCATGGACCAGGACCCATAGGTACTTCAGAGACCCCAGCCATCCAGTTAGCAGCATACAACAGTCACCTCCTTTCCAGGGGCAGAACTAGCCTGGCCCCTATCTATAGAGTTTCATATTAGTGGTCCTTGGTATCACAGTTCCCACTGTGTCCACAGTGGGTCTCAGAGGGCAGGAAGGTATGGTGGTGGAGGGCATAGCTCAAGTGGGTTTGTAGCATCCTCATGCAGCTTCTCAAGTCATGCCAGAGAGGACAGGGATGTGGGGGAGGTCTGAAGATCTTCAAAAGTGGTTATGGGAGGAAAGGAGGATGCTGAGAGTTGCCAACATGGGAAGAAGGCAAACCTATCGTGTGTGTGTGTGTGTGTGTGTGTGTAACCATGTGGACCAATTCACAGACTCAATTCCTGGCCCTAAGTGTGAGACTGACCCTGCTCCAGTCCCTGCTTGGTTGGTCCCAGGATCCTTTGCAGTTTCCGTTTGTCTTCTATACAGTAACAATTCTATCCTGGTTCTGTTTCCCAGGCAAGCCTTAAGCCTGCCTTCTGCGTCTTATTGAAACCCTTCATGGAAACGCTGCCTGTCCAGGACCCTCAGGCAGCGTCTGCCGATGGGTCACCCAGAAGAGATTCAAGCCAAGTGTGATGATATGTACCGACACACTCAATCCCCAGGAGGTTATGGAAGGAGGATCAAATAATCAGGTCTAGCCTAGGCTACAGAATTCTTGTCTCACAAAACACACAAACAGCAGAGATTTTGCAGGTGATCTGCCCTCCACCTCTAGTCCACCACAGCCCCCCTCTCATGTGGAAGGTTAAGACTGATTACAAGGCTGAGGCAGGAGACCAACACAGCATCCAGGGGCTGCTGCTGTCTGTCCTGTGCAGGTCCGCAGGAAGTTAGGAAACAATGGTGCGTGTATAAACTGATTTAGCAGCCCTTGACTGGGTTCTTCAGCCACTGGCCCAGCACCCGCATCAGAGAAACTGGGGATTTCTCTTTGTGCCATCTCTGGCTTCATAGCCTGGCATACTCTGCCCATGCTCCCTCCCTGCCTTGGGGTCACTCATCTACCAGTCTTCGGGAGTATGTCCAGGCCTGGCAGCGTCCTTGGAACTGCTTCCCTATTCCACAACCTATCAGTTTCTCCACCAGGAGGTTCATCCCAAGGACATCCAATTTTTTTTTTAAATAAAAAGACAAAAAATTAAGCATGTGAAATAAGTAGCCAGATATCCTACTAGTTCCTCACTGGGCACATCTTGCTGTCTCAGAGAAGGTGATGTGGAGGTTTGGGGTGCTCTGTGGACAGAAAGGGCTGGAGTTCCAACAGCTGGCATTGAAAGAGCCCATCAGCACGGGAGTGGGGCTGGAGGTTAGCCTGAGGTGGCCTTGGGGTTCCTCAACTGCAGTGCAGCACACAGGGCTCTCCTAGAGGAGAGGGTCAGGCTGGGACATGCCCCTTTGGCACCAATTGGCACCAGTTATGGTTTGAAAGGGTTCTGGTCCCAGTTTGAAAATCCACAGACCAGCAGGATTAGCAGTTGGCTTTAGTGTATAGCCCTGCCGGCTGGGAGGAAGCTGCTCATCTATCTGTGGAACTCTCAAGGTGTCCAGTAGCACTGTACGGGACAGTGGGAGAATAGCTAAAGACAGACACAGATACCATCTTTGTCTCTTAAAGTTGCAGAGGTTTGGTCTTGGCTCACTTGGTAAGGATTTAGCTCAATAGTAAAGCCAGAAGATGTCCGCATAAAGGCAGTGGATGCCTGTCTGATGGTGGGGTGAGGGCTGTAAGAAACCTTACCTCATCTTTGCTCTGTACTGCTCAAGACCAAAGCAACCTGCAGAGATAGACAGACACATTTGTATTCATTCAAAAATACTTTTCTAGATGCTATTTCAAGTACCGAGTACATCCTGTAAAGACAACGAGACTCCCTGCCCCTAGGGGGAGAATCCACACGATGCTGAAGCTTCATCAAACTATGCCCGAAGCCTTATTGTCTCTAAACATTTGAGTTACACAAGTCACCAAATTCCTGTAGCATCTTGGGCAATTTGAGTTGGTGAGTTTTCTGTTTGTTTGCTTGTTGCAAGGCATTCTGAGGGTTACTGCCATCCTGTAGAAGAAGGGGGCCCTGGAGCTAAACTCTGGGTCTGGGCGTGTTTCATTACACATTCAAGTGAGGAAGAGCTACTGAGGACAAAACCAGTCTGTGTGTCTGTCTGAAACACTCATCCACCTCTGGGTGGCTCACAGATCTTATAAATAGCCAAGAAGTAGAACTAGGCTGGGGGGAAAGAAAAGGAATTTTAAAAATTAAAATTAAAAAAAGATAAAAGGAGAGGGGGAGAAGGAGTTCCACAGGAAATTGAGATGGAATTCGAGAGGCAGAATACAGCACGCATCATTGAAGCCTGGCCAGAAGAACCAGCCAGAACTGCTTGATTATTAAAAGCACCAGGCGAGCCTAGAGTGAGCAGAACCCAGCATTTTCCCAGGCTCATCATTGGAGGTCTGCCTGCTGGGTGGAATTTCCAAGTGCTGGTAAGTGTGAATACCACTCTTCATCCCTTTGGTTCCGGATGACCGGTTGGGAAAGATGAGTCTGAAGAGCCCTCACTTGTTTCCCACGTTTTAGGACCTGCCAAAACCCCTCACCGACTTGACTGTTAGTGGAATCTGTTCTGTAGCCACAGTTATGAATGCAGCATCCGCACCCTTTGCCACGCTCCAGCCAGCAGCACCCAGTCTTCTTGCAGAACTTAAGGATGGTCACATGACCCAAAGCAAGCCAATGGGAATCCAGTGAACAAGCTCTGTTGAAATCATTGAGTACGACGTCATCTTTTTCTATGGGCCTGCTTGTGCCCAGGTTACTCTTGTACTGTTGGGAAGTAGTAGAAAGGAGGGCAGGAATCTGGAGGTCACCTCTGGGTCCCCAGGCTAGCCATTCCCGAAGGAAGGGGTCTGGATCTATGGACTCTGCCTAAGTCATTGTGTTTAGTTTGCTATTGCTTGGATGCACCTCTGTATGTTTGCAGGGTTTCAGGCGGCAATTAAGAAGGGAAGGCAGCATGTTCAGGATGGGTTGGTGTCTCAGAGAGGGGGCCAGAACAGCACTCATACTTTCTTTGGGGATTACCAGCTCCCAAATAATGACATGGAAGATTGTTGCTAATTATGAAAGCTTGGCCTTAGCTTAGGCTTATTCCCAACTAGCTCTTAAAACTTAATTAACCTTTTATATTGATCTAAATTTGCCACGTGGCTCGACACCTCTCCTCCATATTGTACATCAAACTCCCTCCACTTCGCACCAGCAAATTCTGCCTCTCTGCTTCACAGGGTTCCTATCTCTGCCTGCAAGTCATGCCTATCCTCTCCTGCCTAGCTATGGGCCATTCGGCTCCTTATTAAACCAATCAGAAAGTGTCTTGGCAGAGAGAGATACAGCTTCACAGACCATCTCACAACACAGGACAGTAGCCTCCTGCTTGCCATCTGAGAATGCCCTGCAAGTGACATCTTGGATGCAGATAGCAACCCTTCCCAGACACCAACCTTGGACTCTCCAGCCCTCAGAACTGCGAGCACTAACTTTCTGTTCTGTGTAAATGACCTGGCTGTCACACTTGGTTACAACAGCACTCATGGATCACGGCACGGCTGACAAAGGTCTAAGCTACGCCTCCACCATTTTCAGCCACACACTTCTTGGCTGTCACACACAAAGGTGACTTGTAGGTCACTATCTAGCTTCCCTTTAACACAACATGCTCGGACATGGAGGTTTAAAAATAGCATGAGTGTTCCTATGTGACACTCATGAACACCTCTGTGTGATACTTGGGCATCCAAAGAGGCTTCTTTTTAGGAACGTGCAGTATTTGTCTATGGTCATTTCACCCTGAACAGCCCAGATCTGATTAGTATTTTGATGGGAGGAAATGGAGTATTTACAATGCCTGCTACCACTGTCTCTCTGCAAACTCCTTCTGGTTATTCTATGAACTGTGTTCAGTGAGGTCCATTTACTTTATTTTTAGTGTGTGTGTGTGCGTGTGTGTGCACCTTCTGTGTGCCTTTGTCGGAGCTGTCTAGAAGAGAGCATTGGATCCCCAGAACTGGAGTTACAGGTGGATATGAGTCCCTAT